TGACCGGAGAAAGGTCATCGAGCAAGGCTGGACCAAATCCCTTCAGAGTCTGGTCACGAGACCACAGAACCAAACACGTAGAAGCCATGGAAGGCTGGTATAGGTCTCAGATGACCTCGGAAGGCCATGGATTAGGGTGGATTAGGGTGGCGGCGGCTAGGGTTTGGGGGTGTTGCAGAGAGTGTTTGAGAGGGACGGGGTTCTAAGGCGGCGGATTGTGAGAAATGATAGGGTTTAGGGGGTCGTTTGGAATTAATTAAGGCAAGGGTGATTATTGGCCGTTGGTCTGAATGTTCAACGACCTAGATTAAAACAGGCAAGTGGGGCGGGTTATGAAACTGGGTTTGGGTCGGTCTTAATTGAAATTGGGTCGGGGTTCAATTGGTCAGAATTGGGCTATAATTGAAATGAAATTTGGCTAACATTTAAATAGCCAATTTTCCCTATTTAATTTATAAAAATAATAAATTAATTTTTGAAAATAAATTAAAGGTACCAAAATGATTTATAACACACAATTGACTATTTAAAAATACAGGACTTAATTTTTATGAATATAAACGTAATTAATCCTAAAAGAGACTAATATTGTAATTATACAATTTTAGCCTTAAAAAATACTACATAATTTTGTAAAGATATGCAAAAAATCCCTTAGCTATATTTTAGCATAAACATAAGCTCAACAAATGAATCACCAAAAAAGAAAATTTTAGAAATAGTAATTGGATTTTTATGGATAAAAATAGGGGGATAAATTGATTTAAAAATCTTTAAAATTAAGGAAAAATAAGGAAACGCTTGGATATACTTTTATATGCATACATATGCCATTTTGAAGGTACTTTGCATATATATATATATATATATATATATATATATATATATATATATATATATATATATATATATATATATATATATATATATATATATGGATAAAATTGGGTATCAACAAGGTGTACATGATGAACTAGTTTTTTTGGGAAAGGTATCAAAACATACTTAATATTAAAAGACGGTCTTAAGTTACACATAATTAAGCAGATTTCATCAGTCAATCTACTGAATTAAGCATGTCTAGAATACAGAAAGCAACCAATCAATTTGCAGTAACATATTGAATGAGTAACAAAGTAGAAAAAGAGCTTCAACAACTTACTAGTTCAGATGAAACAGAAAGAAGTTTAGTAATGCAGCAATGATTATCAACAGCAGCAAACAATAGAAGATTTCTGGCCTTGGCTTCCAGCCGGCCAGGAATCAAAGCAGAATGATAATAGTATATTGTTTTAGTAGTGAGAAAATACTCGAGTTCTTAGTCTTTCTAAAGGGGAATGGGGAGGGGTTTAAATAGCACTGGACTAGGGCACACAAATATGGCAATAATCAATCAAGGAAAGCATCTAACAGTTAACTTAAGGAAAGAAAACTCGGAACCCTATTTAAGGTAAGCCATAGGTAAAGAGACGCGTATAAGCATGTAGACAGAGATTTTATCAAGCAATTAAAGAATCAAATAGATTTGAAGAATCGAAAACCCCCTAAGTTTAGGGTAAGTAAAATTAGTCAACAATTAACGGCAAGAGTTGTAATAAAGATGCATAGAAACAGACAGACAGAATCATTAAAGAAAAAGTGGAATCGAAAACCCTAAATTTAGAGTAAGTAAAATTGGCGGAAAAAATAAAAGGAAAAGCTATAATAAAGATGCACAGAGACGGATAAACAGAGACATTAAAGATTGAACTAGATTTGGTTCAACTTTGAGGAATCAAAAACCCTAATTTTTAGGGTAAAAATTAGTTAGGAGTATCAACGAAAAATCATGATAAAGATGCACATAGGTAGATATACTGAAATATTAAAGAAAAAAATAATTTTTGAAAAAAAATGGAGAACCATAACAGATCTAGAAAGATCTGAACCCTAGTTTTAGGGTAAGTAAAGAATCGAGAAAAATCTCAGAGATTCATACCATAAAGAGACGAGAATGAACATATATGGAAAGAAGCAAAGGTCCAAACCAGATTTGATTCAGAATGAAAGAAATCGGCTTGCCATGTTAGGCAAGCAATTATGTGATACCATAAACGGGTAGCCAATATCGAGAAAGGATCAATAAGGTAAGAAAATCCCCGATTGAATCCATATCTGGTTGGAATCGAAAGGGATTAGGGGTGACGACGCTAGGGTTTCACAGGAGAGAAGAGGACTGTTTGAGGGCGGCAGGTTTAGAAGAATGAGGGGTTAGGGTTAGGAGTGGTTAATTAAAAGGGAAGGATGAACGAGGGTCGTTCATCTTGAAAGATCAACAGCCATAATTAAAAGGATTTTGGGTCGGGTATAGAAACGGGTAGGGGTGTGCATTCGAATCGGTTTATCGATAAATCGAATCGATTATTTGTTATCGAAATCGAAATCGAAAAAATCGAAACCTTATTGAAACGATAACGATAAGCATATGTACAAATCGGTAATCGATAAGTAATTATCGATAAGGGTCAAAATCGAATCGATAAATCGAATGCACACCCCTAGATTGTAGACACTTGTTAAATGAGTAATTACCTATTTGTGTAGATTAATATAACATACAGAATGTATATATATTCCGCTACTATTTTGAAAGCGGCTATACAATATTATTTTCCCTAATCTATACCCTTTCCTTTACCCTAAGTCCCTTACCCTATTATTTCCTCTACCACATTTAAGGAATGATCATATTTAAAGATCAAGGGAATGAA